AAGTGGTCCGCTGTGTCCGATCTGCTGAAATTCGTTTGTTCGCGCATGTTTTTTCTTTGGCTCGGCCTCGAAGTGTTTCTGGTCAAGTTCCGAGCGACCGCGCACCTGGTGGATCAGGACACGGCCACCACCAGGAACATCTTGGCGGCAGCCCTGTTTCTGTTCCAGGTGATGGGCACAGTCAATCTCAAGTCGACCATTCGTGACCGCCTCAATCCAATTGCGCCGCCGCGCGATTCCGCCACCTCGCTCGGGCGGGTTCGGGGGCTGGGGGGGGGGGGCGTGGGCAAATGGACCCCCCTGTCCTCAGGATCTGTACTTGGGACCACTTTCTGACCGGGAGGCCGAACATGCAGGGACCTGGTCACAGAGATGAGTGCGCATCCAGGGTTCAGTGCGTCGGGGGGCCCTTTGGCTTTATCCTTGTTCCGTAGAAGGCGAACCGACCCACACCAGCCGCTGCAAGTGCGGTGGCAGATCTCTTCGTCTTCGGCGGGCGGGACAGCGTGCTCACCATGACGGAGACGGGCGTGGTGGACGCCTACTACGCCCAGCTCGCGAAGCGGCTGTGGCGGAGCAGGAGCCTCGGCAGGTGCCGCGCCTTCGTCCTGATGACCAGCTTCACGGACGCGGACTTCCAGATGCTCATGTTGGACGAACGCCCTGGAGCATCGAGGAGCAGCATCGGGCATTAGCAAAACGCCCCCCCCCCCCAGACAAGTCGAGCGAGGAAGTCTGCACCCGTTCGCTCGACATCTGGCTGTTCTCAACTGTGCTGGTGCAGTTCCCAGTCAGTTTCGCCAATATCGACGCGCGGTTCGCCAGATACACTGGGCTGTGTCTCGCCGTCGATTCGCTACCCCTGCGGGGTGCACCCGCAACGCGGCGCCGTGCGCAGGTGGAGTGCCCCTGACAGCTTTCACCAAAGGGCGTGTTGCTGAAGGGGGCTCTGTCGGCGACCGACGTTCGATCTGTACAGTCGGGGCCCTCAAGAAGGCACCCTTTTCGTTGGGGAGGGGCTCGGTGTTCCTTGATCGTTCTGCAGTTTGCCTTTTCTTTTTCTGAGGTTTTCCACGGGAAGTCGAAGTTCGACTTATGGGAGAAAGGGGCCCCGTTCCTTAATTAGGGTTCCTTAGGTCAACGCCCCGACTGTACCCCTGCTGCTGCCCCCCCACTCCTGGGCGCCGGGTGCAGCAGGGCACGGGCAAGCAAACGATGCCTGGGAGGTCAGGGTTCTGCCCATGTCCGCGCTCCGGCCCCTCGGGGGTGCTGGCTCGTGAGCGCGCTGGACGGGGCCAGGACGAGGCTGAGTCCGTTCCAGAGCGTTCCGCAACGCTCCGAGAAGACCGCGGCGCCAGAGACAGTTTCCAAAGCTGGTGGATCTCAGAGATTCTCGATTTATTCATCGAGGATGAAAGAGCCCCTAGCCCTAATAACATAGTGAAGACGTGGCCTCACTGAGGCCCCCGTCTTTGCACTAGGTATACTGACAGTGGGCGGTGTAGTTTGACACATCTGCAGAAAAGACTCATATCCCTAATGTTTTTGGCCTCCTAACTCAGGTCGCCTCTCAAAAGATTTGGGAGGTCCCTTTTATTGCTAATCATTTATCCTTGCCCGATCCAAGAAGTCCGCGCAGATCTCCCGAAGTTTATCCTCGTGTGGCTTCATCCCTGGACCGGTCTTTCGTCCTGAGTCTTTGTTTGACGGTCCTAGGGACCGGCGAGGGCCCGAAGAGACAGGGCATAGCGGAAAACCTCCCGCCGTGAGTTTTCCATGTTCGAGGGTGTCCTAAGTTTATCCTTGCCTGATTTGATCTTCGTCTTGGCTTCGTCTTCGCAGGGGCGTGGGATCGAATGCCGATCGCCCCTTCTGCCCACCCCCGTCCCGAGGGACGGCGCCGCAAGCTCGCCGGGCAGAACCAAGGAGTAGACCGCGGACGCGCCCCGCCCTGGCCCCGCCCTGATCTGCCAGGCGCACACCCTCTTCCTCCTCCTCCTCCTCCTCGTCCTCGTCTCCCTCCTCCTCCTCCTCCTCCTCCTCCTCCTCCTCCTCGTAGAGAGCGCTGTGCCTCCTCCTCCTCCTCCTCCTTCTCCTCCTCCTCCTCCTCCTCCTCCTACTCCTTGTAGGGAGCGCTGTGCCTCCTCCTCCTCCACTCCATTCCTTTTCCTTATAACCAACTTCGCCAAGACGCAACAGTCAGGTTGATCCATGGCGTTGGAATCCCGAGAACAATATTTTGGCATGCTTCAGGGTCTTGAACATGGTGTTCTCCAACGAGGCAGTTCCATTGATGGCTCTTGGGTTTACATTGGTCCTCCTCCGCCTCCTCCTCCTCCTCGTAGGGAGCTTCCTCCTCCTCCTCCTCTTCCTCCTCCTCCTCGTCCTCCTCCTCCTCATCCTCTTCCTCCTCCTTCTCCTCGTAGGGAACACTGTGCCTCATGTTCATCCTCCTCCTCCTTCTCCTCCTCCCCCCTTCATTCTCCTTATACCTAGTTTTTCTCTGTCGCACACCGAGGCCAGTTTTTAGGGCTGGCCGGGCGTTTCGCCTGAGATTTCCCTCACCATCCACGACTCTGAAAAGATGTCAACAGCTTCGCAGATGGAGGGCGGTTGGTTTTCAAACTGTGTCTCTCGCCTTAGCGCGACGCGCATTTGTTTCAAACGTTTTGCACGAGCTTCACGGATTGAGGGCGAGTGGTTTTCGAAATGTAGTTCTCGCCTTAGCGCCGCGCGCATTCGTTTAAACACATTACAAGAGCTTCGCTGGTTTAGGGCGAATGGTTTTCAAAGTGTGGCTCTCGCTTTGGCACCGCGCACATTTGTTACCTAACAGCGAAGACTGATAGGTTTCTAGTGGTCTAAAAAGAGCTCACAGATCACTCCACATGGGGGGTCCGGGCAGGTGTTGGGAGTTGCCGGGCGGCAGGGTGCCGGGCTCGTTTTTCGCCAACAGTCACACACTTCGTGCTCTTCGAGTTCCCAGAACTCCATTCCCAGGCTCATTCTGAATGCCCGGATGCAACAGTCACACACTTCGTGCTCTTCGAGATCCCAGAACGCCATTCCCGGGCCACCTTTAGAATAACCGGATGCAACAGTCACACACTTCGTGCTCTTCGAGTTCCCAGAACTCAATTCCCGGGCCACATTCTGGAGGGCCGGATGCAACAGTCATACACTTCGTGCTCTTCGAGTTCCCAGAATTCCATTCCCGGGCCACATTTTGGATGCCCGGAGCCAACTGTAGGCCACTTCGTGCTCTTCGAGTTCCCAGAACTCCATTCCCGGGCCACATTTTGAATGCCCGGAGCCAACTGTAGGCCACTTCGTGCTCTTCGAGTTCCCAGAACTCCATTCCCGGGCCACATTTTGAATGCCCGTAGCCAACTGTAGGCAACTTCGTGCTCTTCGACTTCCCAGAACTCCCATTCCTGGGCCACATTTTCAGCAGGGGCAAGAGCACGACGAGGAGGAGGACGAGCAAGACCAGGAGGACGAGGACGAGCAGGAGCAGGACGAGGAGCAGGAGGAGCAGGAGAAGAAGGACGAGCAGGAGGAGGAGGAGGACGAGCAGGAGGAGGAGGACGACCAGGAGGAGGAGGACGACCAGGAAGAGGAGGAGGAGGAGGAGGAGGAGGGGGGGGGAGGAGTACCAGGAGGAGGAGGAGGAGGAGGAGGAGGAGGAGGAGGAGGAGGAGGAGGAAGAGGAGGAGGAGGACGAGGACGAGGAGGAGGAGGAGGAGGGGGGGGGAGAGTACCAGGAGGAGGAGAACGAGGACCACCAGGAGGAGGAGGAGGAGGAGGAGGAGGAGGAGGAGGAGGAGGAGGACACCAGGAGGAGGAGGACGAGCAAGACGAGGAGGACGAGAACGAGGACGACCAGGAAGAGGAGGAGGAGGAGGAGGAGGAGGGGGAGGACTACCAGGAGGAGGAGGAGGAGGAGGAGGAGGAGGAGGAGAGGAGGAGGAGGACGAGGAGGAGGAGGAGGAGGAGGACGAGGAGGAGGAGGGGGGGGGAGAGCACCAGGAGGAGGAGAACGAGGACCACCAGGAGGAGGAGGAGGAGGAGGAGGAGGAGGAGGAGGAGGAGGAGAGCACCAGGAGGAGGAGGACGAGCAAGACGAGGAGGACGAGAACGAGGACGAGCAGGAGGAAGAGGAGGAGGAGGAGGAGGAGGAGGAGCAGGAGAAAGAGGAGGAGGAGGAGGAGGCAGGCTGAGGCTGAGGCTGTGACTGCGACTGCCGTTGCCGCTGCGACTGTCATCGCGAATGCGACTACGACTGCGAGAACAGCAGAATTCGACAACTGGATTTTCATCTGAATCTTAAGGGGAATGCTTTCAGATATGCTTCTACACATCGCTGTTAGGTTGCTTTGCCGGGATAATTTTTTATGTTCACAGATTGAGGGCGGGTGGTTTTCAAACTGTGGCTCTCGCTTTAACGCCGCGCACTTTTTTTATATAGAAAACAGTTGCAAACATTCTTGACGCTTCGCGTATCCCCACCAGCTGCTAATTATCTCCTCCTGTGCCCCAGCCGAGACCGTCCCGCTTCCTGGATCTGTCCTTGTGAGCCGCCAATCGAACAAAAAGTATCCCCACCAGCCCATCCAGAAACGATGTCCAGGCAAGTTGAAGAGATCAGGGAAGTGGGGGAGCAACGAGAGGGACAGCCGATCCGTGCAAAGGATGAGGCGGAAGAGGAGGCCAGATGGATAGATGAGGGGGTGGCGAGGAACCGAGCGAAGGAGGGATGAGGAGAATGATGACGCTGGGTGGATGGTTGAATGCCGCTCGGATGCCTCTTGGAAGCCTTTTGGAAGCCTCTTCGGGCGTCTTGGGGGTCTCTTGGCGGTCAATGGGGGCTCTTGGGCGTCTTGGGTGCTTCGGGGGGGCCTCTTGAGGCCGCTTGGGATCCTCTTGGGGGGCTCTTGGGGGCCTGTTGGAGGCCTCTTGGGGCCTCTTGGGGGTCTCTTGGAGCTTCATGGCGGCCTCTTGGAGCCTCTTGGAGGCCTCTTGGAACCATCCTGGGAGCCTCTTGGAGCCTCTTGGGGGCTTCTTGGGGCCTCATGGCGGCCTCTTGGGGCCTCTTGGAGGCCTCTTGGAAGCCTCTTTGGGCCTCCTGGGCGCCTCTTGGGGCCATCTTGGAGGAGATCGATCAAAGAAGAGGGGGTTCCCTAATTAACCATGTCCCTCGGGAGCCTCTAAAATCGCCTCTTGGCCTCTTGGGGCGCTCTTGGGCGCTCTTGGGGCCGTCTTGGGGCCCTCTTGGGCCCCTCTTGGGGCCTCCTTGGCCCCTCTTGGAGCCATCTTGAGGCCTCAGATGGCCATCGGAAGCGAAAAGGCGAGAAGCCGAAAATCATTGGTTTCCCTTAGGTTTTTGAAGGATTTTGGCTTCTTGGGGGTCCTCCTTGGGGAGGTAATTTGCCTCTTGGAGCTGTCTTGGAGCGCTCTGAGAGCGTCTTGGAGCATCTTCGGAGCCATCTTGCGGCATCTTAGGCTATCTTGAGCCATCTTGGAAGTCATCTTGGACTATCCGAGGCGCTCATGGAGCCATCCTGGGCCATCTTGGACACTCTGACCGCTCCCGACCGGGCCCGTCCAGGTCGAGGGGAGGGGGTTAGGGGGAGGGGTAAACCCCTCCCCGAAGGGGAAGAAGGGAAGATGGAAGAGGAAACTCCCTAAACCACCTACGCCCAGAGGGCTGGTGGGATTTCACAGATTGAGGGCGAGTGGTTTTCAAACTGTGGCTCTCGCTTTAACGCCGCGCATATTCGTTTTAAAGCTTTGCAGGAGCTTCACGGATTGAGGGCGGGCGGTTTACAAAATACGGCTCTCGCTTCTGTGCCGCGCACATTTGTTTTTGAACATTTGCAAGAGTTTCACGGATTCCCATGATCAGCGTGCCCAGAATGGCGTTTTGGAAGGATTCAGGATCATGCGGGTGCAACAGTTATGTTGATTCGCGGTGCTGACGTCCCCAAAAAATGACGTCCTAGCACGACTCCAGATCGTCAAGACGCAGCAGTCAGGTTGACCCGTGGCGTTGAAATCCCGGGAACCATGTTTTGGCATCCTTCCGGATCTTCAAACGGTTGTGTTCCACAGTCCTATCAATGGAAGTGAACCGCTGTAGGGGCCTATGTAGAGGGAGCTTGGAGGGAACGTTCATTCCAACATCGTTGGTGGCTCTTGGGGTTACACTGGTCGTCCTCCTCCTCCTCTTCCTCCTCCTCTTCCTCCACCTCCTCGTCCTCCGCCTCGTAGGGAGCACTGTGCCTCCGTTTCCTCCGTCTCCTCCTCCTCCTCCTCCTCCTTTTCCTCCTCCTCCTCCTCGTCCTCCTCCCCTCTTCCTCATCCCACTCCTCCTCTTCGTCCTCGTCCTCCTCTTCCTCCTCATCCTCCTCCTTCTCGTAGGGAGCACTGTGCCTCCTCCTCCTCCTCCTCCTCCTCCTCCTCCTCCTCGTAGGGAGCCTCCTTTCCCTCCTCCTCCTTCTCCTCCTCCTCCGCAACGACGGCGAAACACAGTGGTGGGACTTGGCACAGAATCAGACATGATGGTGGGACCATCATGGACAATTTTCCCACAGCACATGCGTCGTTATATGGACTCGGGCACTTGCGTCCACACCGACGTGTGACGATTCATACCAACAGAAAGCCGTTCTCTGGCTTCGTCTTCTTCGGCTCCGACTCCGGCTCCGTCGTGCAGATGGTCCACACCAGGCTGGACACGAATGTCGGCCCACAAATACCTACCTCCACCCTCCGATTACGCATTCCCGCCCCCATCCGCTCATGACGTCCACTCCCACCTCCACCTATCGACCTCTGACCTCCACTTGCTCAGCGCTCCGACCTCCAGCATCAAGCATTTGACTCTTCACTACTGCCTCCTCGCATCGCGCCCCTGACCCCGCAAGCTCAGCCCCCCGACCTCCAGCCTCCAACTTCTCTCTTTCCACTTCCACATCCACCTATCGACCGTCTGTCTCTGACAGCCCCACACTCCGACCTCCATCACCCAGCATCCGACTTCCACTCGCACCTCCACCTATCGACCTCCAACCTCCACCAAATCGGCACTCCGACCTCCACCGTCGGACATCCGACTCTGCAGTCCTACATCCACTTATCGACCTTCAGGCTCCGCCAGCTCAACACGGTGACTTCAAGCCTCCAGCATCCGACCTTCCACCTCAACCTCCACCTATCGACCTCCAGCGTCCACCAGCTCAGCACTCCGACCTCCAGCCTCCATCATCCGACTTTCCACCTCCACCTGCACCTATCGACCTCCAGCGTCCACAAGCTCAACACTCGACCTCCGGCCTCCAGCATCCGACTTTCCACCCCCACCTCCACCAATCGACCTCCAGCGTCCACCATCTCAGCAGTCCGACCTCCAGCCACCAGCATCCGACTTTTCCACTTCCACCTCCACCTATGGACCTCGGGCGACCACCATCTCAGCACTCCGACCTCCAACCTTCAGCATCCGACTTTCCATCTCCACCTCCACCAATCGACCTCCAGCATCCGACTTCCCACTGCCACGCCCATCTATCCGAGCTATCACTCTCACCTCCACCCATGGGACTCCAGCATACACCAGACGTCCAAAAGTTCTACGTTTCAAACCACTTTCATCCAGATCGACCGCCAGTCCCAGGCCGACTACTGAGGGCTCCGGCCCCCTCGCGCCGCCCTCCTAGGGCCGGTCCCGCTGGACCGTCATCGCGCGCTCCTCCCCCTCCTCCCCCTTCTCCTCCTCGTAGGGAGCCTCCTCCTCCTCCTCTTCTTTCTTCTCCTCCTCCTCCTCCGCGTGGGAAGCGCTGTGCCTCCTTCTCCTCCTCCTCCTCCTCCTCCTCCTCCTCCTCCTCCTCCTCTGCTTCTTGAGGGCACGTGAGAGGACCTCGATCTGGTACTCGATCTCGTAGTTGGGGTCGGTCCCGATGTACTCCTCTCTGAGCTTGGCGCGCTCCTGAAGTAGCCGCAAACGTTCCTCCATGAGCTGGTAGTACTGGTCGGGCTTGGACTTCTGGCGCTCGAAGAAGGGCTTGGCTGCCTCCTTCATGATGTTCACGATGAGCATCCAGTGTTCGTCCACTGTGTTGTCCCCTGCCAACTCCTTCAGCTTGTCCTGGTGCTTGCCGAAATTGAACTCCAGCGCGTCATTGAACTCCTTGCGGTACTTGCCCGTCTGCAGAGCCAGGGCCATCTTGTCGTAGTCCCAGGCGGTCCTCTTTAGATCTGTGAACACATTCGGGATGATGACGTTGGCGGCTGCAATCAGTGGGACATGGTCGCGCGGCACGTTGTCTTTGATGAGTTGAAGTGCCTTGGCCGCTCGCCACCAGACTCTGCAAGAAGTAATGTGGGTACGTAGTCCTTGAGGCACTGCAATGTAGTCGGGACGTGTGGCCTGTCTTTGGGCTCCGAAGTACGTGGGCCCCGCGTTCCAGAAGGTGTTCAGGATGCACATGCCGTGCACGTCGAGCATGTTGTGGAAGGCAGCGGCTGCCTCTCCAGGTACTCCTGTAGGGCCTGCGTCGCCGATCACGTTGCTGGGCGTGGCAGGAAGCCATCCGTCCTGGCCGTAGTGGTCGTTCAGGTCGAGGTCGATGATCGGCGTGCTCCTGGTGGGCGTCTCGTTCAGGGTCTTGTTGATCCACTTGAGCGTCTCGTTGACCGTCTTGACCCAGGCGTTGTGGTGCTTGGCGAGCCCTGACCGTGGAGGTAGGTACGCAACGATGAAGGTCATGTCGAGTTCTCCTCGACGAAGGCGAACTGCTCCTGCGCGTCCTTGAATGCTCGGCGGCGGGCTGGGGAGCTCAGTCACGCACTTGATGCGGTAGCGGTTGCTGATCATGATGGCCACGCCCGCGTGATTGTTGGTGAGAGGGCATTGCACAAGACGGCCAACACGGAGGGTTCAGAGCTCACCAGATCGACCTCGAGGAGGAGAAGCGCATCTTGAAAGAGACCACCTACGAGTTCACCACCGAGCACAACCTACAAGTTCGCCAGGAATACGAGGACGCCAAGGACGGCATCAAGCGAGCACTCTACGGCGTCACCAAGCGGCTCAAGTACTTCAAGAAGCGCGCCTCCGTGCCAGACTGGTCACTGCCCGCCGAGATCTTCCAGATGACCCTCCATCCAGCCCACCAACATCACCAAGCAGAAGTCGAAGACGACAGGCGTGGGCTACGATGACGAGCTCGCCGAGGCACCCCTCGCGCAGGAGAGCTTCGAGTCAGTCCTCAACCACGCGCACCGCGTCGGCTTCGCCCCACTCAACGCCCACCACAGCCAGAGCTTCACCCTCGACAAGAAGAGCGGCAAGCCCAAGGTCCTCGGCTTGCGCATACTCCACGTGCTGTGCCCCTTCTGGCGCCGCTTCTACAGACAGCTTCAGTGCAAGTCCAAGCCGTGGTCACCTCCGCCTCATGCTCGCGGCTGCTGGCCTCATCGGCGTCGCGAAGTCCCCATGACAGCCTCCCGCATCGTCGCCTACCGCCTGCAGCGGGTCAAGGCAGACTTCGTCGTCGGCAGCAAGGACGCCACCAACGCCTTCCCCAGCGCCAAGATCGACAAGGCCATCAACACCATCCCGACCGCCCTCAGCGTAACAGAACAACGTCTATTTCACCAACGCTACCAGTGCGCCAGCGTCCAGATCGACGGGTTCGACTCCACAGGCGACTTCTACATCGGATCGGGGGTCATGCCAGGTTGCAGCACAGGACCGACATCCTTCAACTTCGTTTACGAGCAACCAGTGGGACAATGGCTCGAGGAGACCCCGCAGGACACCGCCCCCTTCGAGGCCGTGTCACCCATTACGCACGCCCTGCTCGACCTTTCCGCCTACCTGTATGTCGACGACATCTTCGAGATGCACCTTGTCCCATCGGGCGCTGCGCGGGACGCCGCCTCGGCCCTCGCCAACAGCAACACTATCCTCGATCAGTGCCTTGCCGAGTACGGGTTCCACCAGACCAGGGACAAGGAGGAGATCGTTGGATGCCTTCGCACGCGGAGGGAGAACCGAGCCCTAGCAGATCAAGTCCAAGGGCGAGTCCTTCGCACCCTTAAGTACCTGGGCGGCCACTTCCACCACGCCGGCAGCAACACCATCGAGATTGACATGCGCATCCCGAGTATCAAGCGAGCCTGGCACATCATGGGCAAGTTCTGGCACCGCAAAGTACCGTGGCGCCTCAAACGTATTATCTTCATTAACAGGGTGATCGGTGCCGCAGCCAGCGGCATGGAATCCCACCTCCTCAAGGACACCGAATACAAGCGCCTCGACGCCGTCATTGCCACCTACACGCGCGTACTCATGCACGGCAAAGCCACCAACATCGACGAAGCGGGCGCCTACCGCACCATGGCCAACAGCGAAGTGTTCAAGCACTGCCACATCTCCCCGGTGTACATCGAGCTGCGAGTGAGGAGGCTGCGCATGATACAGGCCTCTGTCAAGTACCCGCCAGATTACGATCAGTGGCTCACGGCGCTCTTCGGCTTCATCAATTTCGAGAACGACTACAATCGTGAGCACATCGGAGAGCTAGACGACAATGGCCACCTCATCGCGGACGCGAACCCCATGGCGAAGCAGTACTACAACGACGTCATCTCCATTCTCGAGTTAGACAGCGCCGAGGAGTACAGCTACGCATGGGACGGGAGCATCACCCAACTGTATCACGACGCAGAAGTTGCAGCGGCTTTCATCAAGATCGACGTGGCAGAGCTCAGAGCCAGGGCATCAGCAGTAGCGATTCCACCACCTGGTTTCGAGCCTCAACCACACGAACAAGACCAACGAGCAGGAGACGAACTGGGTTACTACAAGTGTGACCTGTTAACGGACGCGGGACAAGTCTGCGGCCGTGTTTTTCCAACATGGACAGCGCTCTGTACCCATCAGACCGCGACAAAAGGAGGAGAGCACGGGCTTCGATCAGCAGCTGCAGCAGTCACCATCACCAATCAGTGTCCGCTCTGTCGTACCACGTTTCTCGATCGAGCCCAAGCCGAAGACCACCTGTTGCGATCTCTCAAACACAAGCGCTGCATTGCCGACAACACCAGGCTTCACTACCCGTTGACACCGATCGAGAACCCAGTCTGTCTCCTCTGTCCACATATGCATCCGTTTGCACATCTCTCAAGCTTCCAGGACCATGTTTGCGCGAATCACCTCCCCACCGAAGAGCGCGAGATCTCGCTAGACATCGGCCTCTTCCAGGATGACTTGGTGCGTGCCAAACGAGAAGGACATCGAGAAGGTGGCGAGCAGCATGGCGGATACGGAACGTTCCAGCAAGCAGCGCAAGACTACGCACCCCAAGGGCAAGGGCGGCCACCACAAGAAAGGCGCAAAGGCAGAGGGAACGGACGCGGACGGGGGCGCCAACATGCAGGACAAGGAAGAGGAAGAGCAGCAGGGCGTGACAATCCCAGCAGCAGCCGCAGCTTCAGGACAGCAAATGCGACGCCACCAACGAGGAGGAGAAGCCTACCAGACCAAGTGCGACCCCAAACTGAAGAAGTTGCTCACGGTGCTGATCAAGCAAGTGCTGGCCAACACGCAGCAGATCGCCTGGGTCGTTTCCGCGGTCTACAACACGTACCTGATGCCGACTCAGGCCAAGGTGATCAAGGCGTTCCGAGCCTGCAGGAAGATCTACGCGGACAAGTGCAAGGAGGCGGGCAAGGAACACTCGCTGGGACCACCAGAAGGACACCTCTACGTCACGCTTATTTCGACCCTCTGCTCCGAGGACGTGGGCGCCAAGACCAGGAGCATTCTCACAGAGCACGGGAAGTTCGTGGACCAGGTCAGCGTGGCGACAGTCCTCAACAAGGTGAAGCACCTGAAGATCAGCAAGTGCTACGACAGCAACCAGGCGAATATCACTCTGCATATCGAGCAGGGGCCCTGGACCGACGCGGAGGCCGAGGAGGATCCTTCAGAGGAGCAGAAGCAGCAGAGCAACATCAAGGACAGCATCCACAGGGCGCTGATCCAAGTGGGAGCCACGGTGAAGACGGGCAAACCACCAGCGGGAGTCATGGAGGATGAGCTGGCTGCGTGGTTGGCAGGGCTATGACTATGAGAAAATGGATGGCCGACTCGACTACGCCTCGTTCGGCAAGGTGATCGGCGTGCGTGGCGCTGTGATCACGATGAAGGTGCCGCTCTGAGCGGCGACGGCGGGGGCCCATCCATGCGGCTGATCGCATTGCTCCGCCCCCCTATGCCGCTCTACCTATCTACCTCCTCCTCCTCCTCCTCCTCCTCCTCCTCCTCCTCCGTGGAGGTAGCATCGTCGATTTCAGTTGTCTGCGAACCCCCCCATCGACCCAGCTGGTGGTCACGATGAGCTCGGCGGCAGCAGCGGCAGCGGTCGACGAGGACATGCTGAGGCCGGCTTGGATGAAGGACCCATATTCCGCCCCCGCCGCCAAGAAGATGCGCAGCGGCGCCGCTGCCAGAGAGGAGGCCAAGCGCGGGGCGGGCGGGTCCAACGCCCTTCAGTACCTGGTGCTGCTGCTCGCCAAGTCGGTGCTCACCGACAGTCGGGCGTTGGCAGACTTGAGCAGCACAGTGCACCACGCGTTCGACGTGGTCGTGGACGGCGATCTCGTGGTACAGAAGAACGAGCAGGCGGGCCAGGACTACAACGACCAGTCGCTGCTCCCGATGCAGCGCCAAAAGTAAGGCGAGGTGGTCGACTTCGACGCCAGGGGCCCGCCCTTCGGGGCGATCATCATGCAGGTGTTCCACGGGGCCGCTACGATGGAGAAGAAAGACGAGCAGAAGGAGCCGTGGATGACGACGGTGCTCAAGATGTGGACCGAGGAGCTGACGAAAAGGTCGGCTCAGGAGGGCAGCGCGAAGGGCAGGGGCAGACTGATCTACACACACGAGTAGGGGTCAGCGCCCATCGCCCTGGTCGAGGAGGTGTTGAGGGGGTTTGGCGCTGTTCGCCGCATCGGCCCACCCCGAGGGGCCCGCGGGACGCAGCGAAGCTGTGGGCGGAACTCATCGGCAAATGACGGCACCAGGGGGAGGACAAAGAGTAGGTAGCAGTAGTAGCAGCAGCATGCAACAGTCCCGCCGTGAACCCTCGGACCTGTGGGGTGTCAGAAACGTGGAGTACCTTCGCGGAAGTTCGAGGCTGGCGGAACTAATTCGGCGAGGTTTGGTGTCCCCTGAAGTTTTGGATTTTCGGCCCCCTCCGGCCCCCACCGCCTACAGCCAAGGAGCCCCCAATACCCCCGCGATTTTGTGGGAGGGGCACTCTTTCCAGGCAAAAAGGCACGTGGAAGGGCAAAAAAGGGAGAGGTCGGTAGCAACCCTTTGGTCCCTGAGGCGGGCCCCCCTGTAAGCTGCGTGCTGAATACGGGGTGTTCGCTGGGGCGGTGCGGCGTCCGTCGTGAGCCACGGGCCGCGCTTTCAAGGTTTGGCGATAGTTTTGCCCCCCAGAGTTTTCCTGCGCTTTGAAGATAGGCTGCTGCTCGCAGGCGCCAGGCGGACTTCAGAGTCGAACTCTTACGGGCCCGATCCCGATCCCGATCCTCCTCCTCCTCCTCCTCCTCCTCCTCCTCCTCCTCCTCCTCCTCCTCCTCCTCCTCCCGCTACTCGTAGGGAGCACTGTGCCTGCTCCTCCTCCTCGTCGTCGTCCCCCTCCCGCCTGTAGGGAGCCAGTGAGAGTCGGTAGTTATTTGCCGCATGTTCTTTGGAATTGGCTACTTGAGGCTGTGAATGTGGAAACTAGATGCATGTGATCTGGCGTCGTCGCGAGCAAAATGGAATTGCCTTATGCTGTCGGCTCCACTTGGTGGAGCGCGCGGCGTCAAGGCTGATCCAGTGGGGGTGAAAAGTAGCAAGGGTTGAGCCGAGTCGTGCTTTATCTATTTGTCGAGTCATGCTGGCTTGGAACGGCCGGCACCAATGTGATCGGCTGAGCTTCGCGGGGGCTGCGTTGGGGCGAGCTTCTCGGGTGTTAGCGCGATGCTTGCGGTCGCTCTTTGGCGATTGGCGGTCGTTCTAATTGTGTCTGTCCTCTGCAGTAAGTATCCTTCGTCGGATGATTGGCGTAGTGCTTCGCATTGTGCTGCTACTTCATGCTGTTGCCGGGTGTTCAAATACCCCGGGGTTTCGCGCGTTATCGTGTCGCGTGTCGTCGCTGCTCTGGGCTCTGGTGTCCTTGGTTGTAGGTCGGTTTTGTTGTGCGGCTTGGTCGGTGTGGGTGGTGTTTGCGTGTGGCGTGATGCTCTGGGGGTGGCAGGCTCTGTCGGTGTGATGGGTTCTTTGTGGGTTGAAGCGGTGGCCATGGATGTGGGCGGCTGGTCTGTTCGGTCTCTTGTGCTGTCGTCGTGGCGTGACATCATGCTGTGTGCTCGACGGCGTGGGCACGTCTGTGGCGTCGTTCAGTTGGTCACGTAGCCGTTGGGTTTCGCCTTCAACTTGTTTGTTCCGACTGCCGTCGTTGAAGGTTTAGTCGTTCTTGTTCAAGTACGTTGTGCTTGTAGTCAACTAGTTGATTTATGCGCATGTCCTCGTCGAGCTTTTGGTCGTTTGGCATTGCTGGTAGTTGGTCTGGTGCTGGTGGCTCCTGATGCAAGGTGGCATGTCTTGTTGGCACTGTTCAGTTGTGCAAAGTTGTCATTGGTAGTTCTGGCTGGTTGCGTGTAGGTGCTCTGCTGCGTTGTTGAGAATGATAGTGGATGTTTTCTCTCCTTGGTAGTTAGTGCATATATGTGTTCAATGCTGCTGGGGGTCTCTATGCGAGTGCTAGTGTGACTGCTTTTCGTGCGGCGAGAACTTCTCGGTCGAATGTCGTTTCACGGGCCCTTTGGACTTCGCGTTCTGCGCGCTGCTCGCGTTGTCTCTGTGGGCGGTGCTCTCGCCGTCGGAGGCCGATGGCTTCCTGAGCGAGTCCTTGCTCGAGCAGTGGGATGCTTTCTTCGGCCATGTTGAAGTAGGAGGCCTGTCCTTGCCCGATTGCTGCCTGTTGTGTCTGGCAGTGAGTGTGGAGCTGTTGCATAGCCTGTTGCATGTGCGCCTCGGTTGTGCGTTTTGCATTGTTGATGTCATCCTTGCTCGCGTCGGGGTCGTTGGGTTGCCGCGCAGCTAGCTGCTGCTGTTGAGCGTGACGCTCAAGCAGCAGTTCAGCAATGGTCGCTTTGTTGTTGTTTCTTCTAGTGTGTCGAGTGCGTGCTTTCTCTCTGCTGTCGAGTGCTTTGGCGCGGTCATGGTTTGCTTGTCCTAGTGGCGCGCGGTAGTGGGGAACCTGGGCGGCGACGCCTTCGAGTTGTTTGTTTCGTTCGGCCTGCTGGGTCGTCGTCTTGGCGCGCTCCTCTTCGTCAGCTTCGTGTCGTATTGCTGCTGATTCGGTGCGAATGAGCTGCTGCCCCGTTTGTTGTGGAGCTTGTAATTGTTCCTGTGCTTTGTGGCGCAGTCGTTTGGTAGATAGTCGCTTGCGCATTGTAGTTGTTGGATGGTGTCTTCCGCGTTTGCGAGCTGTCTCTGTGCTTGTTCGTCGTTTGTGCTGTCCTGGTGTGCTGCGCGTCGCTCCTGTATGATTGCGTCGCTTGCTTGTAGGCCATCGAATTTTTTGTTGTTCGAGTAATGCCTCGAGTCTTGCCGCGACGTCTTGTGCGCGGGGGCTGGGTGGCGTAGTTTTGAGTGGGTGCAGTGGCGTCTTCGCTGGGGAGCACTTGTTGAGCTGGATGTCCTCTGCCCTGGGTCAGGTTGGGTGGTTTTCGCGTGGGCTTGTGGGATGTTGTCATTGTTGGATTAGCGTCTCTTCGATGTTGGTGCATGTTTTTGCGAGTCGTAAATTTTCGTCGTGTCGCTGTTGTGTTCGCGCGGGCGTTGCCTCGGAGATCCTGTTGCGTGCCGCGCAGTCGTTCTTGAGCTGTCGCATGTACTGTAGCTGCTCGTGCTGGTTGTCCAGCTTTCTCGAATGCCAGCACCTCAGACGCAAGCTTCCTTGTGCTGGCCTCATTGGAAATAGTCCATGCTCCGACTTGCAGCGGCGCGGTGCCTGGTCGGTCCTTTTGCTGGGCGTCTTCGCACTATGCTTCGGGCATGCTGTCGATGAGCTCTTCGGCTTTCCTGTCAATTTGTGTTGCGTGGTTGGGGTTGTTGCCCAAGCTTGGCCGTGGTTGTTGTTAGCGGTGTCGGGTCTGGGCATTGTCTCGTTGGCGACGGGTTCTCTGTCCGGGAGCGGTAGCTCTTCATCGGTTGCGCGCGTGCTGGGGATGTCGCCAGTTCTGGGTCGCTCGCGTGTCTAACGCCGCATTGCGATCACTCCGTTAACATCGGGGCGGAGGTGCTGGACTTGCGGGCCGCGCCGCTCCGCGCTTTGCGGCGCTGCGTCAAGGGGGCCACCGCGCAGGGCTCCAAGGGCGCCCGGCTGGAGAAGTGGGCCGAAAAGCTGGGCCTGCAGTCCGCGCGCCCGCGCGGGCGCTCCTCGTGCGCCCCCTGCGCGGGCGCCGGGCGCGGGCGCGCCAGCGGCCGCAGCTGCGCCTTTTCCGGAGGGGCGCGGCGGAGAACGACGCCTGCCAGGCTGGCCAGGGCGCGCGGGGGACCCACCGGCATCGGACCTTCGAGCGCCCCGCGCGCGAGGCCTACGGCCGCGAGGCGAAGGGTTGTGGGACTTGCCATCGATGGGCACCTTCCCGGCCCACGGCGAGTTCGACGGCATCGTCGCGGGCGATGTCTACGCCGACGGCAGCCTGCTGCGCGGCAGTTGCGCGGCTCTGCGGCGAGGGGGCTGGTCGTTCGCGCAGTTGACGCCCAGCGTGAGACTGCGTTTCACTTGCTGCGGGCCCCAGCCTGGGGCGCAATGGCATCGGGCGATCTTTCGAAGTGACTTGGAAGCAGTTCGGCGCGTGCTGGAGGTGGCCTGCCCGCCGCTCACCATCTGGGCCGACTGCCGGAGCATTCTCGACGGCTTCGCGCGCGGCCCAGCCTGGGCCGAGAGGCCGAGCACGATGCATGCTAAGACGTGGAGCCGCCGCTGGGCCCTGCTCGCCGAGAACGGTGACATCGGCCCGAGGGGGAGTCGGCCCCAGAAAGTCAATGCGCACGCGACGCGGGCCCAGCGTCAAGGCATGGGCCTCGGGCGGCTTGCTGGAAGTAAGTATGCTGATCAGTGCGCCAAGCGAGGAGCCAATCAGCAAGTGCATGTAATTAGCCTGGCAGCGAGAAGCGTATATCCAACGATGCAAACTCGTTGCGTACGTGTTAGAGTTTTCCGCTTACGTCGGGGTTCTCGGCCAGGGGCTCGTCGACACCCCCGAGGGTTCGGAGCCGCGCAGAGCGGCTCCGAGCCAGTCTCCCGTGCCCCCACCCCGCAGCCTAGTGGGGGAGTGGAGGCTTCTGCGGGACCTCTACCGCCGCCACCTGGCCTCCCTCTGCCTTCTGGGGCCGATCTGGACGGGGACAGAGGTGAGATAGAGCCAGTCCGCGCCAGAGGCCACCGTCTCGCGAGCCTCCCAAGGGTAGTAGTCTGCCGTCGGTATGCCAAGTACGCCCACGACAGGTGGCTCGGTATCTTGTCTCAGTGTCCCAGGGGCGATCCTCGAAAGATCTCTGGGCGTTTGGATAGTTTGAGGGAAGGTCGAAACCCGACCACCGACCGCCTTTTCTGATGCAGCCCCGTGTCGCCCAGGAGGGGCCTGGGGGCTGGTGCTGTCTCATCGTCGTCGGTCGCGCTCTCGTGCTCATGGCACGGCAGATCAGGGTAGCAGAATCCTCGTAGCAGAATCCTCCTCCTCCTCCTCCTCCTCGTCCTCCTCCGTCTCCTCCTCGTCCTCGTCTTCATCCTCTTCTTCCTCCTCCTGCTCCTGCTCCTCCTCCTCTTCCTCCTCCTCCTTCTCCTTCTCCCTCTCCTTCTCCTCGTAGGCAGCGCTGTACCTCCTCTTCCTCCTCCTCGGACTCCTCCTCCTCCTCCTCTTCTTCCTCCTCCTCCTCCTCCTCCTCCTTCTCCTTCTCCTTCTCCTTCTCCTCGTAAGCAGCGCTGTACCTCCTCCTCCTCGGACTCCTCCTCCTCCTCTTCTTCCTCCTCCTCCTCCTCCTGTTCCTCCTCCTGTTCCTCCTCCTCCTCTCCTCCTCGTCCTCCTCCTTCTCCTCCTCCTCCTCCTCTTCCTCCTCCTCTCCCTCTTCCGTGTCCTCCTTCTCCTCATTATCTTCCTTCTCCGCCTTCTTCACCTCCTTCTCCTCCTCCTTCCCTGCTCCTCCTCAGCCTCCGCCTCGTCCTCCTCCTCGTCCGCCTCCTCCTCTTCCTCATTGGGATCGCTGCTCCCATTCCTCTTCGCCCCCCCCCCCCCCCATCGGACACGCCTCCTTCCCAGCCCCCCAGTATCATCATGTGTTTTGTCTTTCGTTGCTTCTGTTTTACTTCAATGCTAATATATAAGGTATCTAATAATGATAGTATGGCTGGTAGTAGTACTATTATTATCATCCGCAGTGATAGTGTATGTGTTATCGTTATATCTGCGTGTGTATTACTATTTGCATGTTACAAAAATCTGTACGTCGACCGCAAAGGCCCCCAGGACAGGTTCTTCCTCCCGAGTGGTTTTTGACGGTCCCGAGGCCCGGCAAGGACCCCCAGAGGCCACAAAGAGCGGAGCACCTCCCCACGTGATTTTTTTCAGGACTCGATGTGGGGTCTGGGTTGGAGGCAGGCCCCTCCGTGCTCCAAGCGCTACGTGCTCCTCGCCTCCCCCAAACGTAACGTGGCCCTCCAGGAGGGGAGCCCGCGGCCGCCCTCGCGCCTCTGCCTCGCGCCCCTCCCGCTGGCTCCGCCCCCCTGCCCCTCTCCACCCGACCCCCCCCCCAGCGTTTTTCCATCGGTGGCCCTCTGTGGGCTCGGCGCGCCCGCGGCGCGCCGGGGCGGCGCCGACGCGGTCACCCAAGGTTTCTCGGCGCCCTCGTGTTGCCCCGTTCCAAAGAAATAAAGAAGGAACATAAATCAGAGAAAGAGAGAGAGAGAGAGAGAGAGAGAGAAAAAAAAAAGAAAAGAAAGAAATAAAGAAATAAGAAGAGAGAGAGAAGAAGAGAAATAGAGAGAGAGAGAGAGCAGCGCACGGCGCGGCAGCCATGCGAAAGACGGGGTCGAGGGCCCCTGGGGGCCACGCGCAGAGGGGGGAGGTGTAGGGGGAAGGGGGGGACAACTTCTTAGAGGCACCTCTACTTCTCAGAAGGCGAGGGCCTTGTCTGTAGATGTAGAGCCGGTGCCTTCGAAGACGCAGCCTCTTTCTAAGAAACCCTCCCCCCTCCCCCTGCGCCCTTTCTGCGCGCCGCCAACGCACAGGAAGCATCGCACGGCGCGGCAACCATGCGAGAGGCGGGGCCGAGGGCCCTTGGGAGCCAGGGCCAACGTCGTCGGTAACGAGAGGGGTGTGGGATTGGAGTGGTGGGAGCGCCAGCTGCTGTGTGCAGCTGTTGTCGGCTCTGCCGCCGGGCGCCTCTCCTCTGTGCAGTGGCGGCCCTGGCGCCGGGAGGCGCCAGGAAGCCAGCTGTACGCCAGCTGATTCGCCAACGCCCTCCATGGCTACCCTCCTCCCTCCCAGCGTCCGATCCGAAAGGGAGAGGAAGACCCAGGTCCCCTCGAGTCATGAAAAAATCACGACGGGAGGTTGTCCGCCATTTTCTGCCTCTGGGGGCCCTCACCGGGCCCAGGGGCCAGCCAGACACGGCTCGGTTGGGATGAAGATACAGTACCGGGGAATAGGTCCGGACCTCATTTGGGCTCGACGCAATGAAGAAATCATGACGCCAGGGGTCCTGGGGGAGGGGGCGGCGAGGCAGGGAAGCACGGTCGGGAACTTCTGCTCAGCGTGTCGTGCCGCCAGTGCTGGCCCACCGCGCTTCGGCGCCCGGGCAGGTCTACAGTGCAGGCATGCGTGGGCCGTGCTGCAGTACTAAAACGACGCGAAGATCGGCACAAAATCGGATCGGGATAACTCGAAATCTCTGAGAATCGGCGGGTTTGGAGGATGCATTGGGCGCCGCGGCCGCTCCAGAGCGTTCCGGAACGCTCTGAGAGCGCTCCGGAACGCTCTGGAGCGATTTATCCCGATCCCAGCCCTGTTTTAAGTACAGGCTTGGTGCAAAATCATGCATCCTTGCAAGGCGTAGCTACGGACACAGGAACGCACGTGTACGTTGAAGAGATTGCCGGGCGTCGGCTTCCCGAACTCTTCTCGCCCCTCGGAGCACAGCGACACGCTGTCCGCTTCTGCAGGGCACAGCGTGCCACTGGGCGGGTCGCCGCGCGCCACGCTGCGCACAAGTTCCCGACGCCGTAAACTGGATGTTTCTTTTAGTGGCGCGAGTGCCGTCGCGGCACGCACACCGCTTCAGGCGGGCGGCCGCGCTCGCGGCGAGTGCATGAGTCATGCATGCCTCAGGCTCCCGGGCGCCCTGCTCCTCCACTCCCCAGTGCCCATCCCGATTCGGCCAATCCGATTCGAGTTCGGCTTCGCGGCGGCTCTATCCGATTCGATTGTGACCTTCCAGCGGAGCGATGCGGCCAAGTGCTTGTGTTCGGCGCATGTTTGCCCTGGCGTGGCTGGTCCGATTCGATTCCGATTCCGTGCCGATGCAGCCTTTTCCAACGCACGCTCTCATCCGATCTGAGTTCCCGACTCGATGCTGACTGATCCTGTCTCCTCCTCTTCCTCCTCTTTCTCCTCCTTCTCCTCCTCCTCCTCCTCCTCCTCCTCCTCCTCCTCCTCCCATGGTACGTTCACTCCTCCTCCTCCTCCTCCTCCTCCTCCTCCTCCTCCTCCTCCTCCTCCCCTTCCTCCCTTGTCTCGGCGGCGAGCGAGGGGGGGGAAGAGATAAGGAGAAGGCCTTCTCAGAAGGCGGCGGGGCCTCTCAGAAGGCTTCCGCCCGTCTGCTGAGAGGTTTTTCCCCGTGCCTTCAGGGAAGGCTCAACACCTCTCGGACGGAGCCTTCTGGAAAGGCCCGCCCCTTCTCACTTCTCCCCCGGGCTCGGCGCCGAGTTTCGTCTCTGCACGCAGCAGGATGTTTCACCGTCTCACCTCCCTAATGATGCTCGGGGAAGCGTCGGACTCGAGTGCGCCGGAACTCGGGTTTGCCGGCGCTTTTTGACGAGCGCGTCCCGGAGTTTGACGGTTCAGTTTTCGTGCGGTGTTTGCGGCGGGAGCTCGCGTCAAATTTCAGGTCGGGTCTCGTCATTTTCACGATGGCCCCGCCGGGCGCACCCCGAGTCCCCCGAGCCCGAGTCTCAGGCCACCCCGATGCTGTGCGTTGCCCCGCCGGGCGTCTCCGTGCGCACGGCGCGCACGCCTGGAGCCAGGCCGCGGGGCGGCCGGGCCCCCGCTCCTCGCTCCTCGCGCCGCCCCACCGCCCGCGGCAGCTCCGCGGCAGCTCCGCGGCGAGCCCCCTCGCTCCGTGCGCCCTCGGAGCTGCCGCGCCCCTGCTCGCTCGCGCGCCTGGGCGGGGAGAAGAGATAGCAGGCGGGGGTCGACGGCGCGGACCTGCGCGCGTGAGCTTCCCGCGTGAGGTCGCGCGTCGGCGCCGTCTTCTCCACGCAGCGTGCCGCGCTGACGGCCCGCGCGAGCCGCGGCGCAGTGGGAGCCGCTGCTGCGTCTTCCCGCGCGGGGCCCGCGTCTTCCTCGTCGTGACTGCGTTTTGGTGCGGGCAGCGCAGTGCGCCCAAGATCGGCACGGGCTCCAGTGGTGCTGCTGCCGCGGTCCGACGGTCTCGGCTCCGCAGCGGCGGGCGGTGGCGTCGCCTGCGTGCATGGCCCCGATCCACGGGCCTGAGCAGTTGGTCCCCGCGGCGGCGGGAGAGTGGCGTCCAGGGTCTTGGCCGCGGGTGTGCAGCAGCTGGGCGAGCAGATTGGCGGCCTGGGTGCGATCCTCTCCTGCGGGCAGTGGGGCCCTCTGGCGGGGGCGCGGTAACTCCCCCCCACCGCCCGCTCGGGGCCTAACCCCAGACTCCAGTGAAGGTTTTAAATCAGTGGCGGTAGGAAGGGGAAGATTGAGGAGGGAGGAGGGAGGAGCAGGCAAGAGGAGGAGTAAGTAGGAGGGGGAGGAGGAAGGAAGGATCAGGACGGGGAGGCAGGAGACAGGAGGCAGGACTGAGCAGGGGCCTCCTGGGGCTTCCTGGGGTCTCTTGGGGGCCTCTTGGGGGGCTTCTTGGGGGGCCTCTGGGGGGACTCTGGGGGTCTCCCGAGGAGAGAGCATCGAACATTCGAGCAGGCGCCGTCTCCGAAGTTTCGAGGCCGAGGGGCCACTCGGCAAGCTCGCCCCCAGCGCTCCGCAGGGCACGGGCCTCTGCGCGCGCGTCGGCGCGGCTGCTGCCTCGGCGGCCGCACCCGCAGCCAGGCCCGCGAGCCAGCGGCGCACCGGGCCGGCATGGAGGGAGGGGGAGGAGGAGGAGGAGGAGGAGGAGGAGGAGGAGGAGGAGGAGGAGGAGGAGGAGGTGTTAACATGCAAGCGTTCAGGTGACAAGGGAGGAATAGCAACCCTATTGCCTTTGGCTCAAATGTTTAACGGCTGAAGCTACTTAGACCTGCTTTGCCGTTCGGGAGTATAAAGGTGACCTATCATTATCATTGTTGCCAGGCTCCCGTGCAGAACCCTCCTCGGGGTTTTGCATGGTAGCGGAGCGCGGTTGCCATGGCGGCGGCAGCGGCAGCTGCAGCCAGGCCTGGACAGGGCGACCCGCCAGTTAATCTCAATGTGCCGGCAGACAGAGATGCATGGGTCAACATGGATCCGAATCGCTTCAACGACCTGTGCGAGCAAGCATACCTGAACGGAGACTTCAGTTACGTTCAGACGGCGCTACTCGCGAACCATTTCGGACTCGCAACGTTCATTAACGAGCGAGTGACACAGGATCGAAGGGAGGTATCGAACACCGAAGCATTCCAAATGTTACAGAGCGCCCATAAGACCAACAGCGTGTTGTTAGCGATCACAAAAAGAAACGCTGCACTCGAAAGGGATGCTCGCAGATTGGTGGAAAGAGTCACCGAGTTGGAGACCAACAGTGAGGTACAAGAAAAGTTGATCGAAAGGTTTGGCCAGCTTTCGGAAGCAATTAAAGGAGGAAGTGGAAACAAGCACGGGAGCGTTAAACCGATAAGCGAATATAAGGCATTACAGGCGCTAAAGAACTTCAGTGGAGAAAGAGCAAAGTTCAGAGACTGGAACGACAAGTTCTTGAACGCGCTGGCCCAAGTGAAGCCGAGTTACCGACCGGCACTGAAGATGCTAAACAAGAAGTTGGAGACGCTTGACGGAGTCGTACCAGAGGAGGACGATGATGACATCATACGCATAATGAACGGCCGATTAACTGCAAGTGAGTATCTGAAGGCGAATCAAGCCAAACAGGCAGAAGATGACAACAAAGGCGAATACGAGTTTACCGAGGGAGACAAAACTCAGATGGAGGAAGACTTATGGTACATTCTAAACGAGAAGCTTGAAGGTGCAGAAGCCAGAGGAAAATTAAAGGGACTTATGGATGGAGATGGAATCATGGCTTGGCAAAAGGTCTACAAATGGTACTCGGCGGTAACCGGAGCGACCCTATCATCAAAGATGACACATGCCATGAATCCTGAGCCACCCAAGAAGATTACTGACACTGTTACCCGACTTGAGGAGTGGAGCGCATTGGCAGAAAATCTTGAGAAATACGGTAAAGATTACTCGCTGCCTCTTCCTTTTAAAGTCACCGCACTCAGGGCCATAATGGTGCACGCGAACGATTGGTTCGACGAATGGCAGCAGGCATGCTGGCGAACGCCCGACGCGCTTAACATTGACTCATTCCAGAAATTGTATTCAAAGTGCGAAGACTGGGCGCGTAAAAAGAAACTCGACTCAGATACGATAAATAAAGATGCGATGGACATTGGGAACATCAACGAGATGGGTCAAGGGTCCGAAAATGTTTGGGACCAAACAGGATGGGTTGACGAAGACGGAAACTGGTGGCCAGAAGATGGATCGTGGAATTACGGGTCCTGGGCCAATGAGAGCGACAGTGGTGAACATGAAGAAATTGACGCCGTAAACAAAGGCAAAGGCAAAGGAGCGGGCCCCAGGTGTTACAATTGTGGAGGCATGGCCATTTAGATAATTGCACAAGACCTAAACAGTTCACTAAAGGAGGTAAAGGTGGCAAGGGCGGAAAAGGCAAGGGTTGCCGGGCCACTTACGGATCCTATGTGAAAGGTAAGATCGGAGGCAAACAAGGTGGTAAAGGAAGTGGCTCGCGGGGTGGAAGTTATGGAGGCCAAGGAAAATTCACCCCTCATAGCGAGCGTGAGTGTTACAAGTGTGGTGCAAAAGGGCACATCGCCATTAACTGCCCGGGCCCCGAGAAAACCGCCAACGAAGTTGAGCAGGAGAAACCTACAGTGAACGCTGAAGGTGAACAAACCACCTCGTTCGGCCAACCGCAGCATGTTCTCAGTGTTGAGATGAAGGAAGCAGCGAACGTGCCGCCAGACCAGATCGCAACTGAGGAGGTTAACGGGACATGGGATCTGCCCTATTACGCAAGAAAGAAAATGGCACGTAGCAGCGCGATGAATTTGAAAAGAATTCACCAGGAACACCAATGCGACGGAGATTGTAATCACGCTAGTCAATGGGACCGGAGAATAAGTAAAAGCATAAAGCAGGAAAAAGGTTGGCTGGAGAAGTGCAAGGAAATTGGGCTAATTGAGATGCGGGGCTGTGATCCAGAGATTAACGCGGTGCCACCGCTAAGTGCAACGCACGAGACGATCGTGGTTACCGTGGACTCTGGCGCATATAATACAGTGGGACCCCCCAAAGTTGGCACTCATTTCCCTATTAAACATGCGGATGGTCAACGAGTGATCACAGGTAAAAATGAACATGGGAACGCCGTCAGCATGCCGATCCAGGTAGCAGAAGTCAACGAGGTTCTGTGATCTGTCAGAGAGATGGTAAACGCTGGGAATAGAGTTGTGTTTGACAAGGATCTTAACGGGAGATCCCTGAGCCGCATCATGAACAAGACAACTGGTAAGTCCACAACCATTCATGAGAAGAATGGCACGTTCCAGTTTAACATTACGGTGCCGAGGGGACCAGCGGAGACTGTCAATCCCAGGAGTGAAGTGAACGCAGCTGAGGGTTTTCCGCGGCCGGGAACCCTGGAGGCGGATCTATTCTACTAAGCCCCCCATCACCCGTAAGACCAAGCGAAAACTTAAACGTCTTTAATACCGAAGGAGACGAAGGGAGTGAAAGTGGGGGCAACGAGAGTGAGTTGAGTGACGTGGGAGATGTATTTGTGAGCGATGAAGCGGAGTTACCAAAGAAAGGTTACTGTGATATGAGGCCCTCAAAGGAGGAAGTTGAGGCGCATAACACGATACATTTACGTTACCGAAGCTGGTGCCCACATTGTGTTAGAGGAAAAGCGCGCAGGCGCAATCACCGTAGACGCAAAAGAGAAGGGAATGGAAACGTGCCAGTGATTTCAATGGACTACATGTGGCTTAAAGGAAGAAAGGAAGAAGGTGAAAGCGCCAGCAATGGCAATCCAATTTTAGTCATGCATTGCAGGGAAACCAAATTAACTTGGAGCAGAGTGTTGATGAAAAAGGGAGTGGGCTCATACTCGGTAAAGGTGGGATGTGACATGATCAGTTTTACCGGATACAAGAAGGTGATGCTCAAAAGTGATGGAGAATCGGCAATCACGGCACTGGCCAATAGGATTAAAGCTTCGTGCGATCTTGACATGGGGGTTGAAGTTAGCCCAGTGGGCGACTCAAAGGCCAACGGTGAAATCGAGGGAGCCGCTAGGACTGTGCAGGGTCAATTCAGAACGTTAAAGAGCGCCTTTGATGCCAATTATAAGACTGAATTTGGTGAAAGTCATCAGATAATACCTTGGCTGGTGAGCTATGCATCCTCTTTGATTAACAAGTTCACAATAGACACAGATGGGAAGGCGGCCCATGAGAGGTGCAGGGGAAGAAAGTTTAACAAGCAAATTCCTGAGTTTGGTGAGTGTGTCATGCATTTGAAGACACCTGCACACAAGGGCCGTGAGAAGCTTGAAATGAGATGGGAAAGTGGAGTGTTTCTGGGCATAAACGAGAAAAGTCAAGAGCTGATTATTGGGACGCCAAATGGGGCAATCAAGGCGCACGAGTTTAAGAGAAAAGGAAGTGATGCGGAAAGATGGAATATTGTCGAGGTCACCGAAATGAAGGGTTTACCTTGGCAGCCTGACCCTAGTACGGCGGGAATGGAATTACAGTCTAGAATCACGGTACCCATGGACCTACCAGAGCAAGAGTTAACTGCGCCTGAGACGAAGCCGCTCATTGCACGAGGGATTGCGGTTAAGAAGCACGAATGCTTAAAAATGGGACCGACACCGGGGTGTTACGGATGTAAATGTCTCGTGAGAGGGGACAAAGAGCACAAACCGCATGACGCCGATTGCAGGGCTCGAGTTATCGAATGGTTAAAGAAACAAGAGAGCCCGAATATCCAGGCAAGGCTAGCATCTGCACAACTAAGACTTGAGAGTACAAGTCGTGCACCAGAAAATCGTGATCAAGAATCAGAAAGTCAAGCGAAGAAACTGAGGACCAATGTACCGCCTCCGCCGAGCGCTAAAGTTGAGGAAGCTAAGGACGAGTGGATAATAAAAAGGAAACAAAGTTAGATGCCAGCACCGACGACCGAGGAAAGAGTTAGCCTTCCCCACCAATGGTGGGTGTCCTGTAGATTGGGACAAACTTAAGCCCAGAAGATATACTCATGCGATCATGATTGACAGCGGCAAAATACATGAGCACGAAGATGCTTGGTATGGTGAAGAGGGAGACGATCAAACATGGGCTATGGGAAACCCCTTTTAACGGTTACTGGAC